CTCTATCGCTCACTGACTATGTGACCCTGTAAGCTACCTCTGTCTCAGTTTTTCCATTCATAAAATGAAATTTTATGCCCCATGAGGATGTTGTGAAGATTACATGAGATAATATACATAAAGCACACAGGGAACTGCCCTGCACAGTGTTTTTCAAAGAGTAGGTTGTGATCCATTAGTGAAATAAACTCAGTGGGCCAAACAACCATTATTTAAAATAACAAAACAGGGATTGGGGTTGTGGCTCAGTGGTTAAACATTCACCTAGTGCAGGTGAGGCAATGGGTTTGATCCTCAGCACCACATAAAAATAAATAAATAAAATAAAGGCACTGTGTCCACCTACAACTAAAAAAATAAACTTTAAATAACAAAAAAGCAGAAATAGACTAATGTATCAAAAAGTTATCAGAAGACACTACACATAAGTACCATTTTATTAAACTTTTATTTCAGATATGTGCATATACTTACACACATACCCTGGATTACAGTCCACATTTTTTTCTTATGCTGGGTCACATAAAAAAAAAAAAAGTGTGAAAAGCTAGTAGACTTTTCCACATAGTAACTGCGCAATAAAATTTAGTAGCAACATCTTTATTATCTAATAGATAATATGTTTGTTCTCACAATAGATAGTGCTATCTACTATCATTATAAAATAGAGCTGCTAACATTTCTATCATTTCTGCCACTGGTTTACAGCAGTGCTGCTTAAGAATCTCTGCATCTCCTTCAATTAACTTGCCAACTCTTTCTTCAAATGGACTTGGGTGGTCATTTAAATATTTTCTGACTCACAATGCTGGCCAAAGATTAGTGAGGCCCCGCCCAGGCCAGAACACAAGAAATATGAGTGATCTGTTAAGAAAACCACATGAGTTACAACTACACAGAGCTTTTGTAAAATTAAATCCATGTTGGAGAGCTGCAGTCTTTCACACCCCCTTGGGAGATGTGTCATGGAGAGAGGTTACCCAAGGTCAGCTAAGCTGCACCTTCTGAGACTAGGCAAGAGTGGAGGTGCCAAACCTCAGCTCTGTAACACATTTCCTTGTTTGGGGACAGGGTTTACATCATTGTGTATTCCCCCTAACTTTCCATACACACATACCCCTCACTAGAGACTGGAAATAAAATCTCTATGAAATGCCTGTACTACTAACAGCTTAAGTAAAGGGAGTCTACTAAGTCAAAGGATCTTAGATTTTGAATATCTCAAAACAATTTCTATTACATATAACTTTTTCCCTCCACAAACAAACTAAAAACAAAGTCCCCAAACTAAAACCTCAGTTCCAATTAATGCTTGTTTAAATTGCCTTTTTGAAAAACAATGATAAATAACTATACACACACACACACACACACACACACACACACACACACACAGAGTTTGTTTTAAAGGAGAACGCCTCACTCTAGCTAAGGTATCAATGGGTTTGAAGTTTCAACTATAGTTTCCAAGGTTTTTCCTTAAGTTTGGAAAACAAAGTTCCCTATGACAGAAATGTAGTCACTTCACTTTTCAATTCTCCTTTCTTGAGAATAAAATCTCAGATTAGTGCCAAAGCATGACATCTGGAACATATAAGTGTGTGTAGGGATGTAAACTAAACTTTTAATATGTGATATTGTTACTTTCTTGTTTTTATTCCGTTCTTCCAACTACGATGCCAGTGAACTAGGGGGAGGGGGACAAAAACTGCTTTAGCAGCAGAATCCTTTACTCAAATGAAATCCTACCTCTTCACTCAATAAACAAAGCAAGTAAAAATGGGGGCTGATCCCAATATCCACACCATTAACTGGTGCCTGCTGGGGTGGGTCTGGTTTTCACTTCCTCAAGAACTGAAGGAAGGGGTGATGGGAGTGTCTGGTGCATCGCCAGCCAATGCTCAGCGTCTGGAAGCCCAGGCTGCCAGATAACTTCCATGTTACAAATGCAAGAGTGAACGTCTTATCCAAGGTCTCCAACCTTAGATTAGCCACTGCTCTGCACCATGTCATGGTCTTCAGTGAGGAAAAGAAAAATTACATCCCTGGACTTGAAAGGGTAGATCTCTAAGTGTCTCCTCCACAGACCAAGTGACTAGGGGAGCTGAGCAGGTGATGCTGGCAATGAAAAGCACTTGGGTTCCAGACTGACTGTTGTTAAGATGCAAAACTCCCCATGTGACCTACAGGGTCAACAACTTCTATCAAAATCTCAGCTGCCTCTTGGCAGAAATCAACAAGCTGATTCTAAAATTCATGGTGTGGAGGAGGGGAGATAATCAAAACAAGCCTGAAAAAGGTCAAAATTGGAGTAGTCATACTTCCTGATCACAAAGCTTACTACAAAGCTACAGTAGTCAAGACAGTAGACAGCACAGACATTAAGGACGCTGTGAACGGAACAGCACTGAGAGTTAGAAACATTGGCACTGTACTTATGGTCAACTGATTTTCAACATGGGTGTAAAGACAATTCAATGGGGAAGAACAGTTTTTGTTTGTTTTTTTTTTCTATTCCTTTTTTTTTTTTCTTTAAAGACAGGGTTTCTCCCTAAATTGCTGAAACTTACCTTGAATTTCTGATTCCCCTGCCTCAGTCTCTGGAGTAGTTGGGATTACAGATGTAATCTGGGAAGAATAATCTTTACAAAAAATGGTGCTGGGATGACACCATTAAGTATTCAAATACAAAAGAACAGAGTTGGACCCCTACCTCATAGCACATACAAAAAATAACTTTAATCTAAGAGCTGAAACTACAAAACTCTTAGAAGACACAGGCACAAATCTTCATGATCTTGGACTGGACAAAAATTTCTTAGGTATGACACCAAAAGCAGAAGCCAAACTAGAAAACCAGATTAAAGTGAACTTCGCCAAAATTAAAACTTTGTGTTTTAAAGGACACCATCAAGAAAGCAAAATGATAGCCAAAGAACAGGAGAAAATATTTGAAAATCATGTATCTTTTTTAAAGGGACCAGAGGATATATAAAGAACTCTTACAAGTCAATATCTGAGTCACTGTAAAAACACAGCAAGCACTAATGTGGGGTTCCATGTAAATGTTAGTGAGCAGGGAAATTCACAGATCCAGAATCCACGAACAAAGAGGAACAACTATGTCAAGACATTAATCTCCACAGCACACTCTTAGGTAATTACTTTATTACCCCCACTTAACAGATAAGGAAACTGAGGCCCAGAGAGGATCAGTGACTTGCCTAATGTTACCCAGCTGATTTGTGGTAGTGTGAGGATACCAATTTAGGCAATTTGGCTCCAGAGTTATTACCAAAACAAAGACCTCTTCTAGAGCTAATAAGATGATGTTGAAATGGGCAAACTTAGCCATTGCTGGGAAAAATCACAGAACCAAAAATATAGAAAATGTCTTATACCTGGTGTTGCCCAGCAAGCACACATGCCAGTGAGTTATTCCTGAGCATCAACTCTGGGCAAGAAGTCAGGTTCAGACAAAACCCTGAAAGCTGTCCAAACTCCCGACACCTAGGAGGGAGAAGTTGGGGTGTCATGGAGAAGTAATAATTACCAAGACCCTGTGGGGCTTGAGGGGCTGTCTGTGATCTCTCCAGGGGACACGGGGTGAAAACAACACAATAAAAAGGGGCATATGTGTAAATGCAAATTTGGGGAGAAAAAAATGAGTTTGTGGACAAGAGAAAGGTGACAAATATAAGAATGAAATCAGTTGTGGAAGTAAGGTGTGGCATTATTTCTTTGTTTACTGTTTAAATGTTCCTTTGGTAGCTAATACATCCACCTTTTCAATAACAACAAAGATAGATAACCCAATTTAAAAATGAATAAAAGGCGTGAAGACATTTCTCAAAAAAAAAAAAGATACATAAATGGCCAATAAGCACAAGAAAAATGATGAACATGGTTAGCCATCAGGGAAATACAAACCAAAACCACAAGGAGAGCCTGTAAGGTGGTACATACCTCTAATCCCAGCTATTCAGGAGACTGAGGCAAAAGGATCCCAAGTTCGAGGCCAGCTTCAGAAACTTAGTGAGACCCTGTCTCACAATAAAATATATATATAAATAAAGGGATGGGGGATAGCTCAGTGATAGAATGCCCCTGGGTTCAATCCCCAGAACCACATACACACACACACACACATATACATAAATGAGATACCACCTCATACCCAACAGGACAGCAGTAATCAAAAAGATGGATAGTAAGTAAGGATGAGGATGCAAAGAAATAAACCCTCATACACTGTTGGTGGGGTTATAAAATGGTTCAGTGACTTTGGAAAAAGTTTGATAGTGATAAATGTCAAATATAGGGTTGGGGATATAGCTCAGTGGTAGAGTGCTTACCTAGCATGCACAAGGCCCTGGGTTCAATTCCCAGTAACATACACACAGAGTTAAAAAGAGTTACCACATCACCAGCATTGCTACGAATTCAAGAGAAATGAAAACATACTTCCATACAAAGTTGTACAGTTTTACCTACCAGGGTGGTAAAAAGAAGAGAGATGTGCCTAGACAGAGAAAGCACTCTAGAACACAGTTAAATGGAAAAAAATTGATTGTGAGCAATACATGTAAAATGGGATAACTTTAAATGTATTGTACATGTATATGTACTGCATATGTTTCTTTTTTCTTTCTTTTCTTTTTAAGATACCTGCACATAAAAACAAGAAAAACATAAATTCCCTCTGGGAGCAAACCTGGGATGGGAGAGGTGGAATTTCTTTTTATTCTACAACTTCTAGTTGTATATAAGAATACAGTCAGGATTCCTTGTGAAAAAGAATATTTGCTTTTCTAGTCAAAAGGGAAGAAGAGAGGGAAGAGGCCCTTGGAGGTAGGCAGTGTGGGAAACTCTGAAAGTGGACTCAGGCAAACAGCATATCGAAGTCAAGACAGAGGGAGCAAAGGTATGAAGAGGAAGAGCCTCTATAGTATCTGAAGTCCTGGGTTGGGCCCTGTTGAAACATCCTGAGAGTGACCAGCATGCAGAGTGGGAGAAGACAAATCAGGACAAACCTGGAAACAGCCAAGTTGCAAGTGTGCAGAGCCCTCAGGAACCAAGGGCCTCCACTGATCTCCAACTCTGGCCAAGGGCCCTGGCCTCTCTTTTTGGAGCATTCTAGTTTTGACTTGAGCTCCAAGTCTACTTTTGCCTCAGCTTGTGAATCTGTCTTGGAAAAGTCAGGAGATACCTAGGAACTGAAGGCAATGATCTCCTGCAGACTCACCGTTTTGTGGTACACAGAGGCCCTGGGGCAATCCCCCAACACCCTAGGAGTCCTCACTATGCACTGGCATTATGCCAGGGTCAGGTATTTAACCAGAGGCAGCCTCTACCTCCCAGAGCTGACACTTCATGGGGATGTGTACCACCTCTCTTGACATCACTGCATCCCAGATGAATTTTCTGGGCAGACCCTGCTCACCTCCAGCTCTCCAAAGCTGTCAGTAAGTCATTCATGACTCCAACTTCAATCTCCTGATATAGAAGATGACAATAAGAGGACTTTGTCACAGTATGTTTAAAGAAATCATGAGGATGCAGGTAAAGAGCCAGCAGCAGAGTGCAGCCATTCCAATCAACTAGCATTTGAGGGTTGCTATCTCCTCCCCCCACCACACACACACAGAGTCATCTGTGAGACTTACATCATCTAAGAGCCTGGTAACATCCCCCCACCAGTACTGGGGATAGAAAACTGGACCTGGTACCTGCTAGGCAAATGTTCTGCCACTGAGCTATACCCCAACCCTTAAACTTCCCAGACTGACCTTGAACTTGTAATCCTCCTGCTTTAGCCTCCCAAGTAGCTGGTATTAAAGGCTTGTGCCACTGTACCCAGCTCCAGACAATTCTTTATCTGGACCTTTACAAATGCTGTTTTCCTTCTATCCCTCACCCACACCCCAACCACCACTACCACCACTAGGGGCAACTAGCAGCTATTCTTTTTTCTTTTTCTTTTTTTTTAAGAGAGAGTGTGTGTGTGTGAGAGAGAGAGAGAGGGAGAGAGAGAGAGAATTTTTTTAATATTTATTTTTTAGTTTTCAGCAGACACAACATCTTTGTTTGTGGTGCTGAGGATCGAACCAGGGCTGCATGCATGCCAGGCGAGCGTGCTACAGCTTGAGCCACATCCCCAGCCCCACTAGCAGCCATTCTTGTCTGTATCTTCTTAGATGTCACTTTTTCCAAGATACCTTTTCGTCACATCTCTTCCACCATTTTATAGATGAATCACCAAAACTCAGAAAGGCAAAGTTACTAGCACAAGGTCATATTACCCAGATCTCATATTCTTTATTTGTTTTAAAGTATGCATATTTTTAAAAAAATATCCTGACTTGTCATTAGACTTTATTTATTTATTTATTTATTTTTTATTTATTTTTATTTATTTATATGTGGTGCTGAGAATAGAACCCACTGCCTCACACACTAGGCAAGTGCTCTACCACTGAGCCACAACCCCAGCCCCAGATCTCAAATTCTTAATTCCTGGGAATCTTTTTTTCTTTATTTGGTTTAATTAGTTATACATGACAATGGAATGCATTTTCACATATTATACACAAATGGAGCACAACTTCTCATTACTCTGGCTGTACATTGGGCAGAGTCACTCCAGTAGTGTAATTATGCATTCATATAGGGTAATAATGTCTGTCTCATTCTACCATCAACTCCTAGGAATCTTATACTGTATTAAATAAACTTTAACTGATCATTAATCCAGAGAAAGAGGAGGACACACACACTTTCTGGCCTTTGATGCTATACATTTTGATCTTTTCACTTTTTCCATCAGAGCCCTGCTTTACAACTACTTTTCCTCCCCATGATTCCCTTTAGGTAGATGTAATTAATTGAAACAAAAGAAGGCACCCCTACCCAGGGAAGAGGGGTAAGACAAGTTTTATTATATGAGGGGTTATAACTCCTAAAGTGCCCTGCTAGGTTCATGTTCATTCCCCAAGTGGTAGTTTCAGAAAACATCAATGCTTCTGGCCCCACCTTCTGAAAAGGAATTCATGAGTCTTTAGTCAACTACTCTAGCCCACAATGCCAAGACCTTACTCCAGCCATCTGCTAGAATCTGAGGGAAGGGAGGGGACTTCTGCCTACACTGCCTCATTCTCCTTCCCCTGCTCCAGTGAGACAGACCATGTCCAGGGCTCAAGAGCTGACTGGTCATACTGGGAGTTCAATGACAACCTTAAGTTCCATATGCATGGAATGGTCTTTTCCCAGGTATCCTATATATGCCAGGTGATGTAAATCAGAAAATATCTGGATGAAACATTATGAAATTAATTTTAGAAAAATACAGTAAGGGCTGGATCCTTGATACATGCCTGTAATCCCAGTGACTTGGGAGGCTTGAGGGAGGAGGATCACAAGTTCAAGGGCAGCCTCAGCAACTTAGGGAGATCCCCAGCAACCTAGTGAGACTGTGTCTCAAAATTAAAAAAATAAAGAAGGACTGGGGATGTAGCTCTTGGTATAAAGTGCCCCTTGGTTCAATCTCTAATGCCAATCGATCAATCAATCAATAAATAAATAAGGAAGAGGAGAGAAAATGGAGGGGGATCACAGTTAATAAGTAGATTAAGGAATGGGTCACAAAAAATTCAGTGAAAGAGTGGCCACATCAATAATTATAGCAGTTCAATTCACAATAGCAAAGTTACGAAACCAACCTGGATAAAGAAAATGTGGTATACATACAGGGTGGAATATTCCTCAGCCATAAAGAAGAAGGAAATTATGACATTTGCTTGTAAATGGATGGAACTGAAGACTTGTGCTAAGTGAAATAAGCCAATTCCAAAAAACCAAAGGCTAAATGTTCTCTCTGATATGTAAATGCTAACACACAATGGGGGGGTGTGTGTGAAATACTTTGGATTAGACAAAGGGGAATGATGGCAGGAGAGATGGGATGTGAATAGATAGAGTGTAGAATGAATTAGACTTAACTTTCCTATGTTCATATACAAATACAAGACCAGTGTAACTCCACATCAAGTGTTCAACCACAAGAATGGGAAGTTATACTCCATGTATGATATGTCCAAATACATTCTAATGTCATGTATCACTAAAAAGAACAAATAAAAAATTTAAAACAATTTTAAAAATTCAGTAAAAGAGCCAGGGACAGTGGCACACGCCAGTAATCCCAGCAGCTCAGGAGGCTGAGGCAGGAGGATCGTGAGTTCAAAGCCAGTCTCAGCAAAAGCCAGGCGCTAAGCAAAATAATGAGACCCCTGTCTCTAAAAAAATATATATATATACAAAATAGGGCTGGGAATGTGGTTCAGTGGTCAAGTGCCCCTGAATTCAATCCCTGGTACCCCTCCAAAAAAAAAAAATTCAGTGAAAGAATAAAAGAAACAGAGCTGCCCTTGCTCCCACTCTATGCAGGTATAGGGCTTTTTAGTCAGCTTTTATGTCACTGTGACCAATGGACCTGACAAGAACACAGAGGAGAGGAAGTTTATTTGGGGCTCATAGTTTCAGAGGTCATAGATGGCCTAGGTCTGAGATGAGCCAGAACATCATGGCAGAAGGGTGTGGTGGAGGAAATCGGCCCAGGACATGGCAACAATGAAGCAGAAAGAGGGTAGGGGGAGTTGTGGTTTGGTGGTAGAGTGCTTGCCTAGCATGCAAGAGGCACTGGGTTTGATCCCCGGCACCACATAAAAATAAATAAAATAAAGGTATTGTGTCCATCTACAACTAAAAAAGAAGCAGAGAAAGAAAGCTCCACTACTCACCAGTGACAAAATATAGTCCCAAAGTCACACTCTCAGTGACCCACCACCTCCAGCCACTCCCCATCTACCTACAGTTACTGCCCAGTTAATCCATATCAGTAGGTTAATGAATACTTAGGTTGAGGCTTTCATAACCTAAGCATTTCACCTCTAAACTCTCTTGCCCTGTCTTACCCATGAGCTTTTGGGGACACCTCAGATCTAAATCATACAAAGGTGCCTGAGCAATACAGAATTGGCCTTGAAGATTTCTAATCTATGCCAATGGCCTTTCTGCTCTCCCTCTGGTCATACATGGCTCATGTGAGTTCTGGTCAGGGGCTCAGGGACCTTGGTAATGGAAGAGAAGTAGAGACAGATGCATGAGATAGATATTGGTGGAAAAAGAATAATCAGGATGTAAAACAGATTGGGAGGACGGTGGCATGCAGAAGCCTGGAGGCCATATCTTATCCTCATCGAAATCAGGGACTATATCTGATTCTCTGCTGCTCCCCACTCCTAGCTTTCATCCAAAGGAACAGCTGTGTTGGAAGCAGTGAATTCCCTGTCAGTAAAGGATTTGAGTTCAGGGTCAACAATAACTGGGAAAATAGGGCTGGGGATGTGGCTGAGTGCCCCTAAGTTCAATCCCTGGTACAAAACAAAAAAATCATTTCAGGCAAGTTCCATGAGCAAAATACAATGGGAGAATGTGACTAAAACTGTTGGGGAGGGATTGCTTTGGACAGAGTGGTCAGGCTTTTTCTACAGAGGAGACAACTGAACTGAAGGGTAAGAAAGTGCAGGTCATGGGAAGAAGTGGAAGATAAGTGTGCTCACTAGAAGGAAGAGCATGAACAAAGGCTCTGAGAAGTCTCCTGATATCTTGAACTGAAATACTGATCAGCTGCATTCCATTCTGAAGGCCCCCACAGACTAACAGCCCCCGACCTGACAGCCTGCCTTCTCCGTTATCCTTTCGTCCTAAGTCAAAGCACATCTGAATTTTGCACTGGAAGGTGTGCTCTAAGCTAGGGTACAAAGAAATGTGTGTGCACCAACATGCCACTCCCTAAAAATTTGGGCCTGACCTGGAGAGGAGATGAGTAAAACTTGCATCTCTCCACCAGCCATTCAGAGTCCATTTTTATGGCACACAGGCTTCTTGAAAAATATGATGAAAGGGGAAGCCTCTGGGAAAACACACACCTGTGCTCCAAGTGTCTCATGTAGATTTCAGGAGGAACCCAGGACCCTAGGTTCAACACTCCTGTTTATGGAGTTCAAGAAGAAAGAAACTAAACTGACAAGAAGAAATTAGACAGGTGCAGCCCAGGGAGACTCCACTGACACAGGAGTCAATCTGCTGGAGATGAAAGAATAAAGGAGAGGGAGACAAGATCAGGCCCCTGGGCCCTTAAATAGACTCTCACACTCAGAGACTAGTGGATGTGTGCCTGTCAGGGGGACAGAGGCTTGCAAGAATTCAAGTGAAACCTCATCCACTCCACCCCACACACCACTCCTGAGAGGCAAACATCCAGTCACATCCAAGAGCTTCCAGAAGGTTCAAGATCCCATTTCCCAGCAGTATCCTTGACAAAGTTCACCTCTGACCCCACATTCTGAGATATACTTTGCACAAGGCTGGTTAACCATAGTAGGTATCCCAACAAAGTCCATGTTTCCCTGGGCTGAAGGGAAAATTCTGCTACTACATAGAAAACACCAGATCCCTAGGAGGAAAGGAAGAAGGAGAAAGAGTCTACACATTCATTTCATTAGGAAGCTAGGGATGTGATACACTATTAGTCTGATGTCAGCAGTGATAATAAGAGCAACTAAAAGCAGGTAGAATTCACCTTGTACTGTCACTATTGGGGAACTTTAACCTT